ACCGTACCTATCCCGCTGTGATGTCTTCCTTCATGCCGAATGTTCAACACTTGTAGAGCACTCATCATACCTTTTGGCCACACCCCCGTCACCTCGGAAACCGCCTGAAACACCATTCACACAGATGACAATTATACACGTAGCTACCCACCACCAGGTAGCACCACGTTACCTCACCATTGTACAACTGAAGCAACAACGACAACCGTATGTCAAGTGACTAGTGAAAATACTGAGGGGAAGCAGAATAGAGAGCAACATGTTCACTTGTTGTTCGTGAAGGTTTACAACTACGTTCTCAGTATAATCTTCTTTCCCTCGTCAGAATTTGCGGATGTGTAGTGTAGAGCCAAACTACCACCGTGTTTAGTGGAAGGATTGAATGTTTACATGGCACATGCCAAATATGCTGTTAAAATGTATCAGTGATCTCTGCTAGCAGCTATGCTCTTCTTATTGGCTCACAATCTTCTCAGTATATGATCATAAGTTAATTACCAATGCTTTAATTAATTAATTAGCAATGCTTTAATTAATTAATTAGCAATGCTTTAATTAATTATATACCAATGCTTTAATTAATTAATTACCAATGCTTACCTGCTTAATGTTTATCCACTGATTATAATATGCTGGTGCTGAGATGTGAAAGTAGGCACACTGAGTTGGTAACCTGCACATGTATATTCAAATACAATGTTCTTACTTACATATTAACAACTATATGATTTTGATGTTAAAATTAATTAGTTACAGTATGAATTGTTGCTTAACTGTAAACACTAAACCGCTGCTGGAATTATTGAGAATATCTGACTATTAACTGCTAAGTGACAACATTTATTTTATCAATATCAAATACAATAAATCTTAAAAAGAATTGACACTGTGACATACTTACATGGTATTTAGGTCCCAATCACCGTACGTAACAAAACAGAAATTATGACTGCCAACTCCCTCCTTCCTTAACCAGTCATCGAATGTCTACAACAGATAAACATACGATACCGGTCAATCAACGTTCAAAATATATTCGAACAATTACTTATAAATATCTCAAACAAAGAGAAATGACATACTGCACTTTAAAACAGAATTATCACAAAATAAATATCAGGATCAGCATTAAAATAATTGATAGTGAAAGATTCTGAGTTCTCACAAATTATCACATATTTCCAGCAAAATCAAAGACTATTTCTGATAAAATCAGTCTCACAAGAATGCCAAGTGTGATAACATTTGGGAGAGAAGCAGATCTCCCCACACAGCGACTACCCGCCCAAAAAAAGAGCAAGAGTAAACCCCACATGCTAAGCAGTAACGTATGAACATTAACAGCTACTCCCGCGCCCAGAGCAGATAATACCGCTACAGCTAAACGGTAACATCGCACATAGTCACTACCCTCCAGAGATGTCTACCCACAGCTAAAACAGGTCACATACATAAATGCAGCCTACCCTCGTAGTTTTAATCCATACTACTGTCACTAAAAAGCTACTGGAAGCTGTTTGTTTACTCATATAATACCTGGAGAGTTTGTTCCAAATCTGGCTCATTATCGATCATGTCCTGAATGATACCCGTGAGCTGTGAACATAAACAAACAAACAAACACAAATAAATAAACAATAATAAGATAACAATAATGAAATATATATATATATATATTATTACTAATACATATATATATATATTATATATAATATATAAAACAAATGACATAGTATTTCTGATTCCCAACCAGTAACAGAGTCAAGAGTGACCGTACATTTCATGCTCACATATACTTTGTCCAAAACATAGAATTGCTTCCCATCGTTTGGACATTGACCGTTTTTATACAATAAGCAACGAACAACAGCTGCGCCAAAGCAACCCATTCCATATGAAAAGATATTGATACATGCCTAAGTAAAGACAAAGACACATAGAGAACAATTGATTGAAGTGTGTGTGAACACATGCACCATATATACACCCCCACGAACCTAGTACAAGAAAGGACTCGAATCCATGTGACCTTGGTTCGAACATCATGATGGAAGATGCCATTCAAGCGCCCTCAAACGTCTGCACCACTTTTAACACTGAAATTACGATGATTCCTGAAAACAGGTAACACAATGTTACCAGACTGGCACATGTTAGTTTAACAGATGGCACAGTTATGTTAACTGATGGCACATGTTATGTACTGATGCACATGTTATGTTACTGAGCACATGTTATTACTGATGCACATGAGTTACCTGAAGCACATGTTATGTTACCGATGGCAACAGTTATACTCGAGGGCACATGTTATGTTACTATGACACCATGTTATGTTACTGATGGCACATTATGTTACTGGATGGCACATGTTATTTACAGATGGTCAACATTATCGTTTAACTGATCGGCACAATTATGTACTGAAGCACATGTATGTACTGAGGCACATTACTATACTGAATCGCACATGTTATGTACGATGGCAACATGTTGTTCGCGATGGCACATGTTTATGTACCTCCGATGGCACATGTTAGGTTACTCGATGACACAGTTTTATGTTACGCGATAGGCACTTTAGTACGATGCACATGTTATGTACAAGATGGCAACAAGTTTATTACTGATCAGGACCTGCCAACCCAATCGATATCAGCCAAGTAATAATTATTGGATTATCCGCGTAACAACAGGCATTTGCAGTACACCTTTATTGTAAGTCTTATTACAGTATAATAAAAACATAATAGCGAAAAAGATAGTCATTTGCCAGTTTTGTCTTAGCTCACCACTGTCGTCTGTCTGTAGCTCTCTGATGGCCATTGTGCTAAGAACAGTGCACTACGCAGCACACCTTAATTTAATCTCTCCCGTGAATGAATGGAAAATACCTTCATGCGATACTACTATCTCGGATTCCGTGACGTCATTCAAATGCGCGCCCAAACATAGACAACAGACCGAAGCCCATAACACAGCACAAGCATACACCATTTCCAGCTGAGTACCGTACGTTTTAAAGAGCTATTGCCTAAATCCTACAAGACACAGTAAATCATTTACATGATAATAGTTGATTTTACAACTGTGTATTATTTCTTTTTTTTGGCATAAAAAATATAAATCAGAATCAACTCTGTCCCGTAATTCAGTCGTCCGTAACAACCGTAATTTGACCTCGCGGTCCGTCAACAAATACGGGCAAAATACGTAACAGTGCAGTCTGCTGATGGCACAACTATTCATGGTTACAGAAGAATGGCAACATTGTTAGTTACTGATGGCACATTTATTACTGAGCACATGTATGTTAACGATGGCAGATGTTATGTTACTGAATGGCACATGTATTACTAGATTGCACATGTATGTACTTGAAACAAATAAATGTAATGTAACATAACCAAGTATATATAGTAGGCTCACCAGTAAGATAGAGGTACCAACGTAGGGAAAGGTCTCAAAAGAAAATCAATAAATCTGAAAAACCATTATGCAGGGGTAGAAATGAGTTTGAATACAAGGAGTCCAGACGGACTCCGCTACCCCGCTAAAAGAGGGAGTCCGCAGCAGCAAAATGATGGAGCTGCAGCTGGAAGTTCATAAATAACAGATCTGAACAAGAACACTGCTTATTTGCAAATTCAAATACGGTTGCCACGTCGCGCAAATTTCTTTTGGACATTTTGGAAAAATACGGTAATTCCACGAGGCCTGGCTCTGAAACGAACTAGTAGTAAGTATGGCATCTATTTTCAGGGAGTCACACCCCACCAGACCCTGCAATAATGTCAAATCAGGGAGCAACAGTAAATCAGCGGAGATGACTCCGGACCACGTAATTTCGCACGGCCTATTAGTAGGATGCAAACTAAAGTAAATATGTGTACAGCTAAGTGATCCCGTTTGCCTTGTTATTTATTAAGAAAGACTGACTACAGCACCAAATATGTTGACTCTACTGCTCACCTACAGCTACATGCGATATACCTGTCCACAACACCAGATTTTATCGAAAGAACACCCGTCACGGACTGCCTAACTGGGCTGCAAGAGTCGTTGTCGAATGCAGGTACTAAAGACCGAGTACAATATTGCATCACACACAAGTGTACATACTGTACTAACAAAGTTACCCTAACCTAACACAACCCTAACCCAACCCTAAACATCCCCAATATAAAAAGAAAACATAATCCAAACAACCAAACACCTCGTACATCACGTAGTACCTAAGGACAACGGACCTCCCATCTGCTCTAACGCAGTACATAGACGTGCAGTGACACATAACTGTACATGAGACGTGTCATGCAACTACCGGTACATAGACTGCATGTGTACACTACCCGTACATGAGACGTTTCATGTCAACACACCGGTACATGAGACGTGTCAATGTGCACACAACCGCGGGCATTGAACGTGTCATGTCAACACATTACCGTACATGAGACTGCATGTCACACTACCCTATACATGAGACGGTCATGCTGCACAACAACCCGGTACACTAGACGTTCATGTGCACACTACCAGTCACTTGAGACGGTCATGTGGCACACTACTACGGTACATAAACTCAGTCACACTACCGGTACATGAACTGTCATGGCACACCACCCTATACATAGACGCTCATCCTGCACACTACCGCATGAACTGCATGTCACACAAACTGGTACATGAACGTGTCAGGCAACACTACGTACATGAGACGTTCCACACAATGGTCCAACGTAGTGCGACGCTTCGCCGTATAATAGGTCACACATTGCTGAACTATGATTGTGTAACAACTGTCAGTGGACAACTCACCAACAACCATGCCCACACTAAGTACAACACATAACTATAGACCACACAGCTAAATCTATGTGTAATATATTATTATATATATAATATATAATATATATATATAATATATATAATAAGCGTAGCTAAACTATTCCGTGGCGGAAACTTCATGACCACACATCTGGACCCATCTCACCGCACGCCTCGCATTTCTACGCATTCACCAAAATACGAAAAAAAGAAAGAAAAAAAGCAGCCCGCAACACAGCCCTGTAACCCTGTCTGTGGCCTGTGCTGTTCACCTCGTGGCCTGCGTACCTGCTTGACTGGCTGGGCGGCTACTAGGATGCCAGTACGGGGGGGGGGACGAAATTCATTATTGACATTGTGGGCCATGCTTATGCGTATAGAGAGGTGGGCACCTGCGCGGCGAAACGGATACAGCAAAACTTTCCCTGAATCAAGGGAAACACAGGCAATCGGGAATGACACACAGTGCCGCACGCAAAGAAAGCGATCGTGATTCAATACGATTTCCCAGTATATAGTCAGAAGCACGTGGTGATCTATTTATTTTTGGATTAACACTATTGTGACAACGGTGGCTCAATACCGGAACATTTTCACAACGGCGTTGTTAAATTTGACAATGGCGGTGCACCACAGTGCCTCCTATGTAGAAGAAACCCTGGTATAATAATAATGCGTGTGTATATATTATAGTGACAGTGTATAATTACATATATATATATATATATATATTTATATACTATATATATATATGTGTGTGTAAACGTGCAGTGGCGTGCGTGTCGCGTGACTGTAAGCTAAATTGCTCCAAGTGACTGTGAGTGGATATGCACTGCACACGAGTTAGAGGTAGCTTTCAAGCGGCAAACATAAAATCAGGCAAAAATGAATTATTTTAACATTGCACGTTTGTACTTGTTATATATGTGTGTGATAAATAAAAAAAATTGCTCGGGAATACGTTCATTCAAAGCTTTTAGACTACAAAGTGAAACGTTCGGGTCGAATGTTTCCCAGCATTACAGTGGCAATTGTTCCGCTCTACGCACTGGCCGTATTATGAACCATTACATTTTGTTGGGTTTTTAGCACGTTCTATCTCGAAAACGGTTATGGTAAAAATTCTGAAATTAATAACATAAACAGTCGACGTGCTTCTCTGTCTAGACTACAAAGTTTGATTTCATAAAATAATTTATATTAAAAGTTATGACATCTGAAAATGGCTACATTGACTCGATGGAAATGATGGTCCTACATCTATATGGTTACGTCGATCTGTCACTCTTGACAATTACTCAACGGTTGCTCAAATATAAACAATATGGCGCCATTATACAGAACCGAGGCAAAAAGCGTTTTTCGAGTTGTTTCTTCGTTGAGCAAATATATAGGCTTAATACATATTTTTAGTTTTATTTTCAAAGCTAACGTTCAGTTAACGTGTAGTGAGTTATTTACCTACGTTTTTACAGTGGTTTGTCACAAAAATTTACGTGGGAAGCTACCTTTATTCAGACAGTGCCTGTCTGACTAGGCTGTTCCATTTCCCATTACCGTAGACATGCCAGATACAAAATGCATAGAAACACATTATAACACTGAGCAATGGTAGGGGGGGTGCAAAGCTAAAGTAATGCCAGAGAGCACTATGAGTGTGTATTTTCAGGAAACGACTTGGGCAGTGAGGGCTATTAATAAACTTGCTGCATCTCCACTGCACCAGCACATGGCAGTGCGCAGGCACCAAGCGCAGGCACAAGCAGAAAAAAAACAATGTGTCCAAGCGAACAATGCGAACAATCAGTGCAAATTTTGTACAGTGCAACTGAAATGAGGAATATAACCTTGCCGCTGCAGAATGCGGAAATTAAGCCTAGAAATCGTAATGATTCCGCAGAATGAGGAATGGTTGGAGACCCCGGCTATCGTACCCAGGGTACGTTCCGGCAGTAACCTGGGGGACATAGACCCTATGGGCCTATCATCTATAGACTATATGAGTATGAGTCTTACTACCCTACCCCACAGGCACCTATATCTAACACGATCCCCCAATGCGAGCACCGAAGGTGTGAGAAGGTAGGACACACAATTTCACAACTTTATCAAATCGGACCTTTTTTAGATAAAAAATGTGAATGTTTCAATTAAAATACATGTATGTGCATACACGTTCTTAGTTTGTATTGTTGTCTCCGGCGTCTTTGGTTGAACTGTCAATCATGTATTACAGCGTATATAGCATATATTCCATATTTGTTAAAAATTAACAGTTACCACACGTTACAAAAATGGCGGCGACTTGTGTTTCAAATTTTGTCCAATCAGGTGGTGGCATTACATTCAGCTCGAAATCGTAGCGAAATATGTCAACACCATGACCGGCATTGAACGTGTGGGAACTGTTGATTTTTTACTGGCGACGGATTTTACTCTCCTAACGCTGTCAAATATTATCGACAGTGCAAACATATACAGGGAAGGTTACGTAAAACAAAGTAGGAATACGAGAGATGGTGCATATTTTTATTGAGATCAAAAACTTTCATTGATATCGGACATTCGTGAAATTGTGTGTCCTACCTTCTCACACCTTTGTGCTCGCATTGGGGGATCGTGTTAGATATAGGTGCCTGTGGCTGTGCCCTACCCTACCTCAGTAGGGGCGCAAATCCACTTTAGGCACCTTAGGTATCACGAAGTGATGCACAGATTTTCTGTGTATCATCAACTGATGCACAGACTTTCCGTATATTAAAGAATGATGCAAAAACCCTAACCCGTAACCCTAAGTCATAAAGTATAACCTTAGTCTTAGGTATCACGAAGTGTGTTAGGGTTAGGGTAGGGGTCCCTATATACAGAGAGTTGCGCCAACTCAGGATTTGACTCCATGTTGTTTCCAATGGATCCACACGCTGCCGCATTAAGTAGCAGCGCTGTATGGATACGCTGTACAATGGTCCGTAAGTAATTAATTAGACTAATCTTGCTTCCAATAAACTCAAAATTTACAGAGATTATAGCTAAGACATGTGTCTATGGTGTATCTAGATTTCTAGAAATGTAACTCAAATTGGTTCGCGCCATATGATAGTTTAATTGTACACTTTCTTACCGCCCATAAAGCCGTTGCGTATATTAACCTGTGCGATACCGCGCGTAAGATACTTGCTAATTAATTAAACCACTCGCCTTCAATAAACTCAAGAATCACAGAGATCATAGGATAACACATGTGTTTATACTGTATCTAGATTTCTAAGAAAAGTAACTCAAATGCGTTCGCGGCCATATAATAGCTTAATTGTAACTTTCTTAGTGTAAACACAGCAGCTAGTCATTTTGAAGAATAATGACACTGTAATTCACAAGATAAATGCGTTCCACTCTCCACTCGCTCGCAGCTGTAACATGTGCTTTGCAGTTCTAGAAAATCTAGATACCCATAGACACATGTCTTTAGCTATAAATCTCTGTAAATTTTGAGTTTATTGAAGCACGCGATTAGTCTAATTAATTTACTACGGCCCATTGTACAGCAATCCATACAGCGCTGTACTTAAGCGGCAGGCGTGTGGATCAATTGGAAACACATGGCCGTCCAGCGATCAGCGTGACCGATTTTTTCCGACTCGTCATGGCGCAACTCTCTGTATACAGGGACGCCTAAGGTTAGGGTTAGGGTTAGGATTAGGGCTAGGGTTAGGGTTAGGGTTTAGGGTTTTTGCATCATTCCTTGATATAAGGAAAGTCTGTGCATCAGTTGATGATACACAGAAATCTGTGCATCACTTCGTGATACCTAAGGTGCCTAAAGTGGAGTTGCACACCTCAGTAGTGACAGTACTGTCAGTAGTCAGTACCTGTACTGGTTGAATTTTCGTTCGTTCAACGCAAGTCGCTTCAAAGTCTAAAACAAGAAAGTAGTCAAATGGTTGCCGGCGTATTGTGCACATTTTACGTAGTAGCGAACTACAACGCATATGCGATGCAGAAACAATACATGTTTTCAACATTTCTATGTCACGTTCGCGTCCATGCTCTCTGATCAGTGGCGCCATCTCTCAACGGTAAAATCAAACTGTGGCGATTTCGTTGACTGACTTATTTCAGGCCACTATTTTTACGCTACTTTTATTACTCTGAATATTTGTTCGCCGAGGCCCGGTATATGTCAAAAAGGAATATTTGATCAAATATGCACATATAAATTAATGTGGACATATTTACTTGAATGCAATGATGTAATCCAGCAGAATAGGGTAACACAGAGGTAACCCTACTGTGTTGAGTACGTTATTGTATACAATTTTCACTAGAATTGTGATATGAAAAAAGTGCGTACACGGACACGTGCGTGTATAAAAGAAACACAGCATTAATAACAATATTATTATGGTCATAGGTCACAATATTTCGTTCCAAATTTTACATGGCAGTATTTAAGTTTACTAGTAAGATGAGAAGTAATCTACACGGCTGTCGCTAGTCGATGATAGTATATAAGTATATATAGTCGCTAGTCGATAAAGGTATTATAATACTCTAAAACGTATTTAACGTAGAGTGGTATCAACATAATTACAGTACATATTACATATTACAGAAAAACGTTTACTGGATAAGATTGATAAAGGTTTGGCCGTGAAATTCCCATCCTACACTTCGATGTATGTATTTCAATAACGTAGCAGCGTGGCAGCGACTTCGATCAAATATGACATCTTCGCGCCATCTATCGGGAGAAATATTTCATATGCGCACATTGTATGTTGTGTGTAACTCTAAAATGCATTATTAAAGGTATTATAATACTCTAAAACGTATTTAACGTAAAGTGGAAGTAATATAATTACAGTACCTATACAGAACAACATTTACTGGATACGATTGGCAAAGGTTTGGCCGTAAAATTCCTATCCTACACTTCGATGTATGTATTTCAATAATGGAGCAGCGATTTTGATCAAATATGACAGCTTCGCGCCATCTATCGGGAGAAATAATTCATATGCGCATATTGTCTGCATTGCGCGTCCATGCAAAATTTGTATAATGTGCGCAACCGTAAAAATGCACAAATAAACGTATTATAATACACCAGGAACGTATTTAACGTAGGATAAAATAATATACATATTGTATTGATAAATTATATACTTAGCGACTGTGTTGTGCTTGGTATTTGTTAACGGTGCAGGTTTAGGGGGACAACCGTTGTGCCACCACAGAACTATATTAAACTTATATAAACTTATAGAGTAAACTTATTATTAATGTGAGCCTTACGTTATTATGACATTATTTATCATACATGAACATATGCGGTATAATATGTATTTAGCACTTTTAATACTTTTTAACTCTAGCTATATGTCCGTTCGTTTAGCAGCGCGTTGGGTTAGCTGATGCACCAACTTCTGTATACTCTCTTATATATTTAACCAAGCTTATCGTAAATGTATAATACTGCTGTTATAGCTAGGCAAGGTTTTCCTGTACGTCATCTTTGATGAACGAGGTTTCAGGGAGCGTGCATGGATGGGGATTGTGAGTGTGCGCTGGAGTGGATAACGCTTCAGGGAGCGTGGATGGGAATTGTGAGTGTGCGCTGGAGTGGATAACGCCTCTATCGTTCGATCACTCCCACACGAAGATGTCGGTGAGCCGTTGCTACCCAACGTCGCTAACGCAGGCCGCGTCATTGCACGCGTTAGAACGCAGCAACAATGGCCACCGTGCTGATCACGTGGCGTCACACTGGCGGCCACCACCGTAGCTTACGTCATTACTTACCGCTTTGTCGGCGTGTCGTGTCGGCATGACAACGCTCCATACATCCGGCTACGCTTGATCTGGCGCGTTCTGGTCCTTTATTGGAATTTGTAAATGATTAATTTGTGTTTTGCTTCGAGATTCGCTAACAATAACTAAACGTTGCTGTCGAATGATTGACTTCGTTGATACAGCTTTCTGTAACAAGGCATCGGCCGCTGCAGGGTAAGGGGTCTCTGGTGCCCCCTAGATTTTAAGAACAAAATCAAATAAAGGCTAAAACATTGTAATTAACCTTAAAATAAATGTAAATCATTAAGTAGCCTTCCGTAAAACCCTTCTCCCACACGGAATCCCCGGCCACACAACGCGCGTTCACTGGGAGATGCGCCCCTCCTTCGTCATTACTCCCTTAAGCCACGACACTTCACCTGCACCCAACACCCACACCCACTAGGAACATGACTGAACATGCTATGACGCTGCCGAGGCTGCGTGGAGTACATTCACCAGCCTGCGCTCTCCGCCTCTCTCACGTCACTCCGTCCTTCCCTCCATCCGTGTGTGCGGATAATTAAACTCGTATATATATATAACCTCAGCCCAACTAAACTCGCCTCCCTCCGTCCCTATCCCATCTACACGACTCGCCACACATCTCGTGGACACACGTATACCCAGCCTCCGCGTGTATAGTGTGTGAGTGATCATGACGAGGTCGTGTAAGAAAGTGCGTCCGGCACCACCAAGGCTGCCACTACTGCTGGCTCTAGTATCGTGTACCGTGCTAGCCGTCAGGTCTGTAGGTGAGTACACATAGAAAGCTTATATATATATATATATATATATATATATATATATATATACACATATCAGATGTCCGTTGTCAGAAACAACGTGAATAGTTATGACTATCATCAGTATTGAAATGTCGTCATTTTTGCCCGACACTTTATGTAGTTATGTCGTTTTAGACTTATGATGTCGTAACTACATTCTAACAAGTATAATCCGCAGTTTATTATGATATATCTGACAACGGGCTCACCGAAACCGTAATAGCCGAACACGGGAACCGAACTGTGTTTGTCGCACAGTCTTCCGAGTTACGCTACATAGTAACACTGCTAGCTGTGCGCTCTACGTTAGCGCGTCACGTTGGGCATTACCTGATCATTATCTTAGATCGTCTAACACACGCTATCATTGTCACGGAAGGTGAACACGGGTAGGTTTACTAACATACGCTATCATTGTCACGGAAGGTGAACACGGGTAGGTTTACTAACACACGCTATCATTGTCACAGGTGAACACGGGTAGGTTTACTAACATACGCTATCATTGTCACGGAAGGTAACACGGGTAGGGGGTAGGTTTACTAACATACGCTATCATTGTCTAAAACACTACGCGGTAGGTTTACTAAATACGCTATCATTGTCAGGAAGAGGTGAACACGCGGTAGGTTTACTAAATACGCTATCATTGTCAGCAGGTGAGACACGGGTAGGTTTACTAACACACCGCTATCATTGTCAGCAGGTGAAACGGGTAGGTTTACTAACATACGCTATCATCCTGTCACGGAAGGTAAACACGCGTAGGTTTACTAACACACGCGCTATCATTGTCAGCGGAAGGATAAACACGGTAGGTTTACTAACATACGCATATCATTGTCACGAGGTTAACACGGGTAGGTTTAGCTAACACAGTCGGCTATCATTGTCATCGGACGGTTAAGCAGGTGTAGTGTACGGCTTTACGTAACACACGCCGTATCATTGTCACGGATAGGTTAACACGCGTAGGTTTTACTAACACCCGCTTATCATGTGTCACGGGAAGTAAAACACGGACGTAAGGTTTACTAACATACGCTAGTC